TTAGGGTTTAGGGTGTAGGGTTCTAGGGCTTAGGCTTTGGGCTTAGGGCTTAGGGCTTAGGGCTTAGAGCTTAGGGCTTAGGGCTTAGGGCTTAGGGCTTAGGGCTTAGGGCTTAGGGCTTAGGGTTTAGGATTCTGGGTTTAGGGTATCTTGCTTGCAGCTGTCTGGCGCGCCTCTTCGGGATCGCCTGAGATGCGCAGCCTGGAACCCATCTGATGGAACTTGGCTACAGTGGCTACAGATGCCTAAGCTGACAGCACGCAGCAAACTTCTGCAACCCTAAACCCTAAACCCTAAACCCTAAGGCCAGCTTCATGATGGCCTCAGGGTCAACGGCCGCGCTTTTATTGCTGCTCGGAAATCCTGCGGAGCAGCACAAGACAAGGGCCCTGCGACTGCACCCATGAGCTGCAGTAGTTGCAATGCCTTGCATGATGAGTTCTAACTGCCCTAAACCCTAAACCCTAAACCCTAGAACCTAAACCCTAAACCCCTGTCGGGCCTCCTTCGTCATCGTGGCAACATCAACTCCATTGATGGCCACCACCTGCTGTCCTTGTCGGGTTAAGCAGGTGCAGCTCATCGAGACGACGAGTAGCCGGACGGCAACACCGGACCTAAACCCTAAACCCTAAATCCTAAACCCTAAACTACCCTAAACCGCAAACCCTAAACCCTAAACCCTAAACCCTAAACCCTAAACCCTAAAACCTAAACCCTAAACCCTAAACCCTAAACCCTAAACCTAAACCCTAAACCCTAAACCCTAAACCTAAACCCTAAACCCTACATTCCTTGCCAAGGCTCCGCCTTGAATGCCCCGATCCGAGCCCCATGTTTCGGGCGCGACGTTCTGCACCACGACGGGCTCAGGGGGCAGGGACTTGAAGGACCTGACAGCCGTGGGTTTAGGGTTTAGGGTTAAGGGTTTAGGGTTTAGGGGTTTAGGGGTTTAGGGGTTTAGGGGTTTAGGGGTTTTTAGGGGTTTAGGGGTTTTTAGGGGTTTAGGGGTTTAGGGGTTTAGGGGTTTAGGGGTTTAGGGGTTTAGGGGTTTTTAGGGGTTAGGGGTTTAGGGGGTTTAGGGGTTTAGGGTTTAGGGGTTTAGGGGTTTAGGGGTTTAGGGGTTTAGGTTTAGGGGTTTAGGGGTTTAGGGGTTTAGGGGTTTAGGGGTTTAGGGGTTTAGGGGTTTAGGGGTTTAGGGGTTTAGGGGTTACGGTTTAGGGTTTAAGTTTAGGGTTTACGGTTTAGGGTTTAGGGTTTAGGGTTGAGGGTTTAGGATTTAGGTTAGGGTTTAGGGCAGCCGTGGGAGCTGCAGGGGCCACGGCACTTGCAGCCAGAAATTCTTCGGCATGCCTTCAGAGAATAGGGGTACCCTAAACCCTAAACCCTAAACCCGAAACCCTAAAACCCTAAACCCGAAACCCTAAACCCTAAACCCCAAACCCTAAACCCTAAACCCTAAACCCTAAACCCCTAAACCCTAAACCCGAAACCCTAAACCCCAAACCCTAAACCCTAAACCCTCGGAGGCTCCGGCAAGCCGATCTTCTGGACCTCGGGCCCGGCGTCGGCATCTTGCAGCTCGGCCTCGCCGGCACTTCGAGGCTTCTCGAGGAGTTCGGGAGGTGAGGGTTTAGGGTTTAGGGTTTAGGGTTTAGGGTTTAGGGTTTAGGGTTTAGGGTTTAGGGTTTAGGGTTTAGGGTTTAGGGTTTAGGGTTTTAGGGTTTAGGGTTTTGGGTTTTGGGGTTTTAGGGTTTTAGGGTTTAGGGTTTAGGGTTTAAAATCATAATAGTAGAGTAGCGGCAGAAGAAGAAGTAGTAGTAATAGCAGTAGTCGTGACACGAGTACTGATACTACACGCCAACCGGTCGGTTTACCCATGCCATTCTGCAAGGGTTTAGGGTTTAGGGTCTTTAGGGTTCACATGGTTCAGGGTGGACGAGTGAACTACTAATACTAATCGTGCTGTAGGAGGAGTAGTAGCGTTGTCATGGTGCGGTTGCAATTGTCACTTGGAATAGCAAGAAGCAACAGAAGTAGCTTGGAGTAGCAAGAAGCAGTAGAAGTAGCAAGGGAAGGAGGAGTGGCAGCATGATAGTAGCTGCAGGATTAAGCTGGTGTACGATCATTCCTCTCTTCGCCCTCTCATACGGTGCCCCAATGTCAAGGCAGCTGAGTCTGCCGCCCGGATGGTAACCTTCACCGGCATCCACCTTAGGCATAACGGGTGCTGAGAGACACACCGCATGCCATTCCCCCTAAACCATTGCATTAACCCTAAACCCTAAACCCTAAACTCTAAACCCTAAACCCTAAACCCTAAACCCTGAACCCTAAACCCTGAACCCTAAACCCTAACCCTACTGAGTCTGCACTCGCAACTGCCATGTGGGCCACCAAGCGATGTTCTTTGCCCGTGTCCTCCCTGCATTTCGTGAAACGACTGTGGCCCATTGTAAGCTGTGATGCAAAGACTGCCCGGGTTATAGCAGAATATATCTTGTAATTATATATATATATATATACACTATGACGGTGCAATTGGCAGCCAACACTCTGAACCCTGTCGCTAGCGATCTTCGCGAGCGGCAGTCTGACTACCCTCTGCACTCGAAGGGTTCAAAGTCACCGGCGAACTCTACCGTATCACCATCCATCACTCCAGCGTCTTCCAAGGTTAGATCAGGACACCTGTTGCTTCTGTAGGGTGGGCCACCCTGCCGCCTGAAGACGTATCCGCTTCTGGATTGCGTGGAGGTGGTCAAAGAGAGCATGCCCACTTCCTCCCCAAACCTCCAGACAGTATCGCTCATCTTTGCTTGGCCGCGAACTGTCTTGCTTTTCGACCTATCCATCAGCACGACAGACAGCGTCACCTTGGAAGCAGCAGTGCAGAAAAGGCAAGTTCACCGTACCAGAAAAACTGCCCAAAAGACGAGTCGACAAGCACAGCACGCAGAAAATCGCAAAGCAAGTATCTGAGCAAAGCTGCCGGTGTCGCGGGGGGTGCAGAGGTTCGAGGAGGCTCGTCAAAGTCACCGGCGAACTCTACAGTATCACCATCCTTCACTCCAGCGTCTGCCAAGGTTAGATCCGGATACATGCGCTCCTTGTAGGCTTCGCAGCCCTGCCGCCTGAAGACGTATTTCGACTTAGTGCTCAAAGTTGTCATGCCGACTGCCTCTCCGAACGTCCAGACCTTGTCGCTCAGCTTGGCTTTGCCCGAGACTGTCCGGCTTTTGGACTTGTCCATCAGCACGACAGAAAGTGTCACCTTGGGAGCAACAGTCGTGCACAAAAGAAGAGATGTTCATGTCAAATAGCGCCACTAAAACGAGTCAGCAAGAAAACCGCACGGATAATTTCTGAGCGCAGCTGCCGGTGTCGAGGGAGGAGCAGAGGTTCTAGGAGGCTCGTCAAAGTCACCGGCGAACTCTACAGTATCACCATCCTTCACTCCAGCGTCTGCCAAGGTTAGATCCGGATACATGCGCTCCTTGTAGGCTTCGCAGCCCTGCCGCCTGAAGACGTATTTCGACTTAGTGCTCAAAGTTGTCATGCCGACTGCCTCTCCGAACGTCCAGACCTTGTCGCTCAGCTTGGCTTTGCCCGAGACTGTCCGGCTTTTGGACTTGTCCATCAGCACGACAGAAAGTGTCACCTTGGGAGCAACAGTCGTGCACAAAAGAAGAGATGTTCATGTCAAATAGCGCCACTAAAACGAGTCAGCAAGAAAACCGCACGGATAATTTCTGAGCGCAGCTGCCGGTGTCGAGGGAGGAGCAGAGGTTCTAGGAGGCTCGTCAAAGTCACCGGCGAACTCTACAGTATCACCATCCTTCACTCCAGCGTCTGCCAAGGTTAGATCCGGATACATGCGCTCCTTGTAGGCTTCGCAGCCCTGCCGCCTGAAGACGTATTTCGACTTAGTGCTCAAAGTTGTCATGCCGACTGCCTCTCCGAACGTCCAGACCTTGTCGCTCAGCTTGGCTTTGCCCGAGACCGTCCGGCTTTTGGACTTATCCATCAGCACGACAGAAAGTGTCACCTAAGGGGCAGCAGCACGAAGCAAGAAGCAAGGAAAGACGTGTAAAGGCATGCAGGATGACTTATGACACAATGCCCTGAGAAGAAGTTGACGATGCCTCCGCGGCGTCCCTGGAGAAGTCACCCTCGAAGGCAACCGCCAGCGGCCCTCCGCCCGTCATCCTGGCACCGGCCTCCGCGAAAGTCAGCGATGGGTGCTCGCTGCTCTTCCATCGCTGACCCTCGTAGCAGAAGATGTGCCCCGAGAGCGTGGACAGCTTCTCCATTCCCACAGACATCCCAAGGTCCCAGACAGATGTCTCCGGAACCACCGATGCGTACTCCTCTTCTGTCTTGTGTCGATCCCTCAGCTGGATCTCAAGAATGAGGGGTGCGGCCCGGGAGGGGTCAAAGTCTCCGGTAAACTCCACGGTGCTTCCGTCCACGACCCCAGCATCCCCCAGCTTCAGATTGGGATATCTCAGGCTGCTCCACTGTTGGTGACCATGTGTGAAGATGTACCCACGGGTCAAGGTGGAGAGAAGCAACATGCCAGCATCCTGCCCAAAGCGCCAGACGGACTGGTACAAGGACCCTTGGCAAACCTTCTCGTCAGTGCGGCTTTTGTCTACCAGCTTTACGTTCAAACTTACACGGTCGGACGACATTGCGCTTTTGGAGCTTGCAGCCCCCTTGCGCTACCCGAGAACAGCCGAGAAGGGAAGCAAGTGCATGCAGCAGGGTGCACCAGGGTGTGTCTCGACGGAGATTGCCAGCTACATCCGTCAAGCCACCTGAGTAGCACCTGCAGACCACACATCCCCCCCCCCCACCTCCCCCCCACTCCCCCCCCCTCCCAACGTGCGCTGAGGGATCGTTTTGGCGGCGTGGCGAACTGTTGCTCCGAAGCATTCTGCTTGCGGAGGGGGCCATGATGGCGCCGGCCATGCAGCTCAGTGCTTCGGGCGCTTGCCCGAAGCACGTCTCACCCACAGGCTTAGCCTGGGCGAGACCATACGGGGATCCTCCCACTTATTATCGTAAACCGACTCCCTAAACCCTAAACCCTAAACCCTAAACCCCTCATTCAGAACCTCATGCAAGGAGTGGGCTCCTCCCGTTACTCCTCCGGCGGCTCGGGCGGAGTCTCAATGGCAAACTCAACCTAGGATGGCCTTAAGACCCTCACAAGTATCTTCGCAGAATATGAGCCTCTTAGACCCAACAAAGGGGAAAATTGAAAAGTAAAAACAGAGGCCCCTAAACCCTAAAGCCTAAAGCCTAAAGCCTAAACCCTAAACCCTAAACCCCAAACCCTAAACCCTAAACCCTAAGCCCAGCAACGCAGTCTCCGCTCTTCACGGCCGTCGCAGCTAGTGTGAGGTTGGGATACGTCTTGCTCCTCCAGGTGGGCCCACCATCCTCAGATCTCTCTTCAAAGGAGCCCAAAGGAGCCCTGAAGCAGGGTTTAGGGTTTAGGGTTTAGGGTTTAGGGTTTAGGGTTTAGGGTTTAGGGTTTAGGGTTTCGGGCTTAGGGCTTAGGGCTTAGGGCTTAGGGCTTAGGGCTTAGGGTTTAGGGTTTAGGGTTTAGGGTTTAGGGTTTAGGGTTTAGGGTTTAGGGCTTAGGGTTTCGGGTTTAGGGTTTAGGGTTCAGGGTCCCTTTTTCTAACCCGGAACCCACAAGCCACTAAGCAAAACAGGAGGGAGAGAGAGCGAGAGAGCGATAGAGAGCGACAGAGAGGAGAGAGAGAGAGAGTGCGGGAGTAGATGGACTGAAATACCAGGAGGGAGATGGACTACAACACCAACCCTAAACCCTAAACCCTAAACCCTAAACCCTGAACCCTAAACCCTAAACCATCTCCCAGCAAAAGGATGGCGTGTCGAGCATCCTTCTTGAAGGTAAAGCCAAATCCTGGCACGACCTGGCCTTCCATGGTGCGGAGACCCAAGAGCCTTCGCAGCCATATGATAATAAGGCTACCCTTTTTTGGGGGGTCAGCTGGGGTTGAGGTTTAGGGTTGAGGGTTTAGGGTTTAGTGTTTGGAGTTTGGAGTTTGGAGTTTGGAGTTTGGAGTTCAGGGTTTAGGGTTTTGCGTTTAGGGCTGGCTACGTTACAAGGGACCCTTGAACCAAACAAAACAACAAGGGGAAAAGGGTAACCACTCACCCGAGGAGCTCACCGAGGAGCCACACAGACGTCAAGGGGCACGCCTTCCCAAACCGCTGGCGGCTCCCCTCTTTGTCCACCAGGGTCACATGCAGATACACCTGCCAGGGGCTTCCTAAACCCTAAACCCTAAACCCCTTTGAAAAAGGTGTGCAAGAAAGGAAAGCTGCTCAAAGTTGAGAGCCAGGAGGCGACGGGTTCGAAGTCGCCGGCAAAGGTTACCATGTCGCCGTCCTGCACGCCTGCCTCCTTCAAGGTAAGGGTCGGATGCTGGTTGCTGAGCCAGGTCTCTCCCGCATACGTGAGCACGTAACCATGCAGCGTTGTCAAGTGGTCCATACCCACAGACACACCGAAGTTCCAAACGCAGGTGTCCAGCGAAGCCCTGCCAATGCATTCGCGCTGTCGCTTCTTGTGATCGATCAGCGTGACCCGAATTTGAGCCTTGGGGAGCGGGGTGGGTGCGCGGACGGCATCAGGGACTGGCCCGCTCTCGCTCGTCGGGTCCGCAGCGACACCCTCGGGGGCTCGGGCACCCTTTGCACCCTCCGTGCCCGGCGTCGTGGCCCGCACACTGCCAGCGGCACTGGCAGCCCTGCTGCCTGCGTCTTTTGCATCGGCAGGTGCTTCTGCAGAGGCCTCGGCGGGCGCCTCGGCGCCGTCCGCGCCGTCGGCGGCCGCGCTCGCGGTCGCAGGCCTCTCGTCGCCCGCCACCGGCTCAAAGTCGCCGGCAAACTCCACCAAATCACCATCTCGGACGCCTGCTGCACTCAGGGTCAAGGCCGTCTGTTGGTTGCTCCGCCACGTCTTCCCTCCATAGGAGAACAAGTAGCCGTGCAAAGCAGCCAGATCGCGCATGCCCACCGATGTTCCAAAGTCCCAGACCTGAGCTGAAACCCGCAAGTTGCAAAGCACAGCATAACATAGGTAAGTCGGAATACTTACGAATAGTATTCCCTTATGGTCCCTTTAATAAATGTACGATAATGACCCCCCAAAACCCTATTCTAACTATTCAGGCCCCTCTAGGAAGCGCGGCATGCCGACTGCGCTGGACATTGGTCGAAGGCTTAGACAAGAAGCGGTAGAGCTGAGGAGACGGGTTTAGGGTTTAGGGTTTAGGGTTTAGGGTTTAGGGTTTAGGGTTTAGGGTTTAGGGTTTAGGGTTTAGGGCCTTAGGGTTTAGGGTTTAGGGTTTAGCTTAGACAAGAAGCGGTGGAGTTGAGGAGGCTCGTTCCGACCCGCTCCCAGCTCTTGCCCTCATCGCGGAGCGTAGCTCGCAGCTGCAGCTTCTGTTTGGACATGGCAGATATGGCAGATATGGCAGATATGGCAGATATGGCAGATATGGCAGATATGGCAGATATGGCAGATATGGCAGATATGGCAGGGGGCGGGAGTCGGATGATGATGGGAGGCCCGCAGTCTAGCTAAGCCTCATGGAGTTTAAGGTTCTGACGAGCTGTTTGTTAAAGGCACCCTTGAGTCTGCTGTATAGGGCTCGGAGCGCCATGACTCTGCACCTGCACCTAGCGCAAGGCTTGAGGAGCCGAGAATTCATGCAGCAAGGATCCCTGGCAGAAGTAAGCCACCAGAGCGCATGCGAAACCATCACTTTGGAACGGGGACTCTCAGCAGTGGGTCAAGCTGAGCCCGGGACCCCGTTGCGCTGACAAGCGCCCCGTTCCGGGGCGCAGCCCAGCTTGCATCTGAGGCTCCTTTGGATAAATGCTAGCCTTGGATGTGCTGGGTTTGAAGCTTGCTCTGGGCAGCTTTGCGTGCACGCCCCTGACGAAAGATTGAGATGGGGTGACGGCCACAGGTGATGCTCGGGATATGTGCTCTGCTCGGCGGGTGCACGAATGTGGGGTCTGGGATTCCACACCTTTGGAGCTTGGGTCTGCACATGTCTGCACATGTTCCCCCTGACCCGCACTGGAGCCATCATCGCACGTGAGTCCGAGCAGCTTTCTTATTCTTCTGCATGTCATGTCATCATCCCCATGTCCACCCATGCAGGTAAGCCCATGAAGCGCCAAAGGCGAGGTCACGGAATGAAATTCTCTACGCAAGTCTATGTAGGTCACTCTACGGCATTAGAAGGCTTTTGGCGGAGCGAGTGACGATTTTGGGGAGGAGGGCCGGCACCTCCTGCATCGGAGCTGACGACCACGCCAATCTGGCACGGAAGCACGAGAAGAGATTCACAAGCCATGAAGGCAACGTCCGGGGCTGCAACTCAGCAATTCTAATTTGTCGCCACTGCTGCATAGAGGTGAACAAGCCACATATTTATTGCGCGGTGCGGCAATCTTCATAGCGGGGCTTCCCTTGAAATCAGTGGCACCAGGCCTGTACAATTCCTGGAAGAGACGCTGCCTGGCACTTGAAAACTGCTGCAAGCAGGCGCTCCGTTGAAATGGCAATGTCACCGCCAGCCCCAATCATCCTTGCGGCGACGCCCCTGGCCCCAGCCGTCCCTGCGGCGACGCCCATCGTTCCCACCCCAATCGCCGCCGTCCTTGCGGCGACGCCCGCCCCAGCCCCAGTCATCGTCCTTGCGGCGACGACGCCCGCCGCCCCAGCCCCAGTCATCGTCCTTGCGGCGGCGCCGGCCACCTTCCTCGTCGCTGTCCTTCTGCTCGAGGGCTTCTGTTAAGTGGTAGACAGGAAGACACGTATTGGGCGGATGAAGCATGATAAGGGCTTCCGCACCAAACCCAGACTACTGCATAGGATATGGCTGGCACAAAACATAGACGTAGACGAACTCAACAAACTCCCTGGAACCTGCGGGCCATGAGCCTTCATGAGTTTCATGCACGCCTTTCGGTCCTGCATCACAGCCTCGCTCTTGCGCTGCATCAGGTTGGGACGCTCGTGGTCCCAACCCCAATCGCCGCCGTCCTTGCGGCGACGCCCATGGCCCCAGTCCCAGTCGTCGTCCTTGCGGCGGCGTCGGCCGCCTTCCTCGTCGCTGTCCTTCTGCTGATCTGAAGGGTGCTATACAAGTAGGAGTTTAGGAGAATATGGGGCCCCTAGTAGAGCCCTGCAAATAGTAGGATTCCCTTGTAATAAGGACCCCAATGAAGTGCCCCTAGTTTCGGAAACCCCCAAGTAGAAAGGAAGACGTGCTGAGCTGAACTATGATGAGCAGTGAACTCAGTGAACTCCCTTTTGGAACCTGAAGTTCATAAGATGTCACCAGGTTCATATAGCCCTTGGCTACTACTGAACTCCAGAAAAGGCAAACAAATAATCTCCACTATCACCCTTTATAAGGTAGAACAATTGATGTATTTCTTAGGGTCTAGGGTTTAGGGTTTAGGGTTTAGGGTTTAGGGTTTAGGGTTTAGGGTTTAGGGTTTAGGGTTTAGGGTTTAGGGTTTAGGGTTTAGGGTTTTGGGAATAGTAGCTGGAGGTCCTGCATCGCGGTTTCGCCCTTGCGCTGTAGCAAGTGGATGGCGGCCGGCTCGTCATCGGCCCCAAGAGCTGCCTTCATGCGTTTAGGGTTTAGGGTTTAGGGCTTAGGGTTTAGGGTTTAGGGTTTAGGGTTTAGGGTTTAGGGTTTAGGGTTTAGGGCCCGCCGACGCTGGCAGCGTGTTGGATGGGAAAAGGAGGTGAAAACCTAAACCTTTCAACTATGCTCCAGCGGGGTCGGCGGCTTGAGCCGGAGGCTCTTAAATCCGGGCACGCCCGTGCTCCGACGCCGTTAGGCGCCAGCCCTAGCTAAAGCTACCCCGGGGGGGGGGTTAAGCCGCTGACCCGATTAACTCCCCAACATCCGGCTCCAAATGCGGCTCC